CCCCTCTCACACAATCATGGGCTGACACTAAAGCAACTGGGGAAATTTGGTGGACGTCCACGATCCAGGGTCTTCTCCTGCACCCAATCAAATTTCATCCAATTAGAAAACAGATATATAGAAAATCTATCAACTATGTCATAAATTTCTGGTCAATTATGTCATCTTCCATCCTAGAAACATTTGAACTGCTGCCATTGTCACACTTTTGATGGCTGGATCCCCAAACTTTGCCAAGTTGGTCAATGGGTGACTGGGTTCCAAGGTTCAAAAAAGTGGGCGGAGCCTCCAACAGGTAATCAGAGTTCACTCATTGACTTTAATATGAAAATTTAAATAGCTGCCTTTGTCAGACTTTTGATGGCAGGATCCAAAAACATTGCACAGTTGGTTAATGAGTGACTGCGGTACAAGGTTCGATGAAGTGGGCGGAGTCTCCAGCAGCCAATCAGAATTCACTCATTGAATTTAATGGGAAAAACTCCTGCCATCATTATGCTTTTGATGGTAGGGTCCCCAAACTTTGTACAGTTGATCAATGGGTGTCTACCCCTAAAGCATGCCCTCTGATGGCTGGGTTGTTTCCTGCCTTGCACTTATAGCTTCCCTACGAACACACACACACACACACACACACACAGACCTGACCCTGAAAAGGACAAATAGTTTCAGAAAATGGATGGACAAGCACACATACCCCAAAAGTTCAAACTTCAGAGTAGCACTTTTTTGCTTGAATTGCTGCCAGAAGTCTTCAGGGTAAGTATCCAATAGTACCGGATGCACAATTTGGGAGTACAGCAAAATCCCATTATAATGGACTTCAAGGGACCTGGCAAAACAGTCCGTTAACAGTCCGTCAGTTGCTGTATGCCCAGAACACAACTACAGGACACCATTTACTCATGCCACATCTCAGCAGACACACTTGTGGTATAGATTATTATATTGTACATGTAGTAATCCAACTTTACCTTACCAGATGCATGACTATTAATAATCCTAACTATGTATCTGCACTGGATATCACCGGCACACCACTTGCCTTGTAGGCGGAGCCTGCATGTCTGTTATAGCCGAACAAAACTACAGCTAAAAGCGGCCCTGCATGGGGACCAAATTGTTTGTCCATTATAAGTCAAATTCCGTTATATGCGAGTCCGCTATATCCGATGCTTTTTCTGCATGTTCGTAAAGGTGCACGGCTGGGACCAGCGGACCTCGTCCGTTATAAACGATATTCCATTATAAGCGAGTCCACTATAAGAGGATTTTACTGTACTAGCCATTCTGCCTTACAGAACCAGGGAAGCGCAGTGAGATTTCAGCTGGACTCTTGGTGGACTGGCCTCCCAGGGTTTTTGTCAGATTAATGTGAGGGCTCAGGCATGGCCACCCCTGGATGTTTATCGTTTTATTGCTTTACTGCTGTGCTGATGCCTTGGCAGTGTAACTCGGGTCATTGCCCTGTTGGGATGTAAATTACTCACCCAGTTTCAGTTTCCTGGCTGAGGATAACAGGTTTTCTTCGAGAATCAGTCTATGTTGGGAACTCTACTGCCTTCCCTCTCTCCTCACAAACTTTCCTTCGCCTGAATGTAGAAACATCCCTCTAAAATAGTGTTTCCCTACCCGGCCCTAGGGGACCCACAGATGGTCCAGTTTTTGCTCCCTCCCAGCTCCCTGCCCGACAATCCACATTTTTGCTCCCTGCAAGCCTGAAGCAGAAACATGTACTGCCTGGGATCCCTGAGGACCAGTTTGGGAAACACTGCTCTAAAAGACGCTACCTCCGTCAATCTTTGTGTTTTGCATGAGCCTCAGACTGGCCTTGTTCCGTTAGAGTTTCTCTTCTTGGCACTCTTATAAAGACATATGCACAAAGCCTGTGACACTGTTGTAGCACACAAAAGTTAAGGGTTTGTTGACCAGACAGCCTGTAGGTTCTTCAAAGTGGCCTCTGGATCCTTGGGGGCTTCTTAAATTAATCTCATGGGTTTCTAGACCAGTTTGTTGGGAGGATCTCATGGAGGCAAGGTTGTTGTAGTGCCTTCCTACTGATGATCTTCACTGCGTTCACATTGAATGGAGCTTGTGTATCTGACAGGGATCAATCATGATGTGGGCTGTCCCTCCCAACCACCAGGTCTTCTTAACAAAGGTTCCCACGAATGTCACAGGAAACGGGTAAGTGACAGGACTATGGACTGCTGGTGGGCCTAATAGTTCCAAGGCAAAATGAACAAAAGAAGACAAAAGTGCAGAGGACCGATGTGGTGAACTCAATGGAGGAGAGAGACAGGAATCACAAGTCCAATGAGGGGAAGGGAACAGGAACAGAAGATGGAAACCAGGGATCTAAACAGGAAATTAGTATCAGGAAACAGGAACCAGGACACAGCAGCTGGCCAGGGGACTGCAGTCTAGTGACTAAGGAACTAGGAGATAGATTGCAACAGATTATGAACAGGGAGAAACAAGACCGGCCTTAAGACGGACCCCAGAAGAGGGACTAGGAAGCACGTATTAGAATAAATTCAATGAGCTGATTCATCAGTGTAGTTCATTAGGTGAAATATAACTAGGAATGGTTAGATTTGTTAGAAACACATTTGCCAAACCTCGCCAGCTCTATTGTGCATTTAAGGTACCTGTGTGTGGTAGGTGGAGTAATCGCAGTACTGGCCCTAGAGCACAACCCTGAACCCTGACAACTGCTCCACGGGTACCACATGGATGACTGACCTTGTACTCTGACGTGTGGAAGGCTCAATGGAGAGCATGATGGGATATGTATATCTAAAGAATTTCTATGTGGCCTAATTTAGTACAAATGGCAAATAAATTATAATTTGATGCACTAAAAACTCCTTGTTGCCCATTCCTGAGTACTAATGAGATACACCACTTTGTAAAGAGAAGATGAATAAGGAGTAGGCACCTTAACCACTACAATGACACAGTCACTGCAGCAGCAGATTAATGATTAGTCACCTGGAAGGCAATTGGTCATGCCAGAGCTGATCAGTAATGACTGTTACTGAGGAGCTTTCAAAGACAGATTTCTTAAAAATGACATGAAAATAATGTGGTATAATACATCTCAGGGGGGGCTAGGTGGCTCAGTGTTTGGCACCAGGGTTTGAGTTTCTGCCTTGGTTCCATGTGTGTGGAGTTTGCATGTTACCCCCATGTTCCACCAGGGGCTCCAATTTCCCCAGCACAGTCTTAAAACATGCTCAAGTTAATTGGAGTTATCAAATATCCCATAATTGTGCATGTATGAATGAATGGTGTGTGAGTGTGCCCTGTGATGGGTTGGCGCCCCATCCTGGTATATTCCCTGCCTTGCACCCATAGCCTCTAGAATAGGTTCCGGACCCCCCGTGACCCGGAATAGGTACAAAAAATGAAAATATGGAATATATCCTAGTATCAGGCTCCGAAATACAGTGAAAGTTGATGACCTTTAAAGGAAATTTAGATTCCTATGTCCAATTGATACCTTTCTTGATGAAAAATACTCTTATACATGTTGCTTAATGCTTTTTTCTTGAAATGAATTATTGCATTAGATTTCAACTTCCACCCATTGCAATTTCCTTGTCAAATTTCTTCATAATTTCCCCCACCGGAGATCATGGTGATGACACCTTCTGGCCTAGTGCTGGTGGATGTGTGTGTACTGAGGAACCGCCTCACCTCAGTCCACCCTGTCCCTGTTGCTAGGAGAGTCGGGAAAGGGCAGCTGACTCTGCTCTGAGTCACATCTTAAACCCCCACATTGCTGATCTGTGACTGAATGAAGGCAGCAAGATGTGTGATTAATACAGGAAATTATTATTAAAAGCCCATCAGCTCCTTAACGATTTACAATAAAATACATTTCATATTCAATTTGAGCCTGTCATTGTCTTGGTATGATCTGCCATTGAACTGTACTGTTATTATTTTAGGTGTTTTTCTTTTGGTATTCTTTAATGTGCAAACTATTAACAGACAAAGTCATGGAAGAGAGCTGGGTTTGGTGCCCATGGTTGCTTACCAGTCAACAAATGGCTCAGGTAATAAAACCCAGGTTGACTGGGCTGATCTCTTGGTTTAAATATGCTCAGCTGGGTGGAGTTGCTTACTATGCGGCCAGAAAGGCTGAACCCTAACCCTGACCCTGACCCTAACCCTAACTCACATTTGCCAGACTAGGGGCTTGAGTCTCCCCCCAGCAGAGTTCAGTTCAGAGTGCAGGTGAACTGAGGTTTCTAATTTGGCCCGTAATGGACTGGTATCCCATCCAGGGACCCCCTGACCTATGCACCCTGACACAGGCTGATCTTCACTACCCTGTACTGGACAAGCGTTTTGAGATATGGATGTTTCCTGCACTATTTAAAACTAATTTTTAGGTGACGTGATCTTGAAAAATCGTTGCAAATAAGTTACTGCATTGTAATAAATTACTGCCAACATTTAAATTATATATTGATCACACGCATCTGCATTACTCTTGAGACACAGAGACAATGTATGGTAAAACTTTACACTGTAATATGCAGGTGCACAATTGGCCAGTGTAATTAATCCATCATGAGTGGTGCCATAGCAACACAACACTAGACCAGATCTGAGTCACCAAGAAATGAACTGTGGGAGATGCTACTGTATTCAGTCAATGTGGGACTATTGCTCAGTCTACAGTATGCTTTTGGGGGTCTTGCTAAGGGGGGTCATGAAATTGGTCTCTTATTTTATTAACTCTGATAATACAAGAATGTCTCCTAATATGTCCTAATAAATTCACATGTGCTCTTTCAGCAATAGAGTTCGTTGTATGTAATATAGCTAGGAAATGTGCTCTTCCCTGGGGGGATTCATTAATGAAAGACCTTAAATTTGAATATTTCAGAGAGAATAACAAGCTAGTTTTACGGAAAGTTATGGCGAATTTTTCTCCAGCAAACACGTAGTTACATTTACGCAACTAATCAAAAGCAACTGAAAAACACGTTACACTTAAACGCACATTCTGTACTAATATATGTTACTATAGCTAGACTTGCCATTCGCTTAACTGCAAATAGAAACACCCGAAGTTCCACAAATAAAAAATTAATTACTGCATGGCTTTATTATCCATAGATGACTTGCTTATTAACTTATACAGCACTCCTGTGTTAAGGCAACAGTGGGCAGATCTCCGTCGTATAACCCTGAGGAGCAACTGAACGAAAGGTTTGCAGCGCCCTGTTCTCTCCCACGTCTATCCCATTTCACCACTCAGAAACAGCCGCGGCGGACTTTAGATGTGCGTGTCCGACAGCTCCGGTGCTCCGGAGTAAATAACGCCGGATCTCGGCTTTTTCTCTTCAGCTTCGCCTAATCTGATTGCCAGAAAGGCGTGTTTGTCTAGATACACAGACTGCCTGTGACGCGACAGAGAACAACATCTCAATTCACAGGTAAGCGCATAATCCGTCCATGCATCCATTCGTCCTCTTTATGCTTCACGAGTTCCTCATTATAACCCCCCTGTCTCGGTTACCCCTCTGTCTGAATGTACATCTGTATGAGCCCATCAGTCAGGAATCCGACAGATGTGTCAACATTCGTGAAATGAATGATAATACATATGTTGCAGTTGCTCATAACGGAATATGACCCAGCACTTTCCACTCGTCAATTAAATTTTGAATAAATAAATTCCGCAGCGCTTTACGATTGCAGATGATCATCAAAGCATTAGTAATAAACTTTGGTTACTGATCATTCTTGAGCAGTTTGTGTAGTTTCATGATGAGTAGGCTGTTTGAAATTAATTGAATGCTACAGGTGTTTCGCGGGATTAGATTTAGGAGATTTTGACAGGGTGTGCAGTTACACCAGTATCCTAGCCGTCCATTTGTTTGGGGTTAGGAACATGGTGATGGGGTTACACAAGCGGAACGGTCTGAGTCATAACTTCCTTCTGGCTCGCATTTTTTTACTTCCATTTTTATGTGGGGAGGGGTGGCATATATGTAAAGATGACATGTTTACTTCCACCACAAACATCACAAGAACATAGGGCACTAAGCAATCCTTTTTTATTTACAATGATTGCTTATCTATGCAGACATACAAATCTATACAGATATTCAAATACAAATTCGGATGGATTATTGTTTGACTGAATTATTTCAATTAGTTATTACCATATTACCCTGGTTTGTACAGGTACTGGGATCTTAAAATTGCAGTCAGCATGAATGTCCATATTGCTTTTCAGGACTTATTTTGTGGCTCCTTTACTCATTATTTTCCTCTGTGATGTCATGATCCATATCTCATAGTGCTGTTTCTTGCTGATTTTGCAGGCTGCTTTTGAAGACCTGATTCTGCCCTTCTGGCTTTGATAGCCGGTCAGTGTTCAATGTACGGTTTTTCTTTTACAATAATGAGCCCAAGTGCCAGCTGACTAAATGCAAAGAGCAGCGGAATCGTGTGCCAAGCACTTCCAAGAAGCAATTGCTAAATTTCTGCATCTGACTAAGCTTTACTTAGGCTGCATGAGAGCGACAAATCTTGACACGTTATTCATAAATATTTGCCAGTGCTTACACCAGAGTGTAAAAACTCTCCTTAAGACACATTTCCTGTAAGTTGCTGAAAATATTACTAATAGTACTAATATTGTTGTGAGTAATACACCGATTTTACCAGCACAAACACCTGCCTGCTATCTGTAGAACACAAAGTAGTAACTGCCCTTTGGTTCAGGTGTGTCAGGTACCAAAAGACAGCAAACTTTCCGACTCAAACGACTCCCGTCGTCCGGAGCAACAGAAACATGACAGACGTGTTGGCAGTGGTGGAACCATGGGGTGGTGAGGGTGGGAGCAGAGGCCATTTTAGGGGGGTACATAAATTTAAATATGAATATAAGGCATCTAGAAAAAATGGGACTATTTAAGGTATCTAAACGCTATAACTCTACTTTGTTTATAATTGAGGCAGTGGTGGAATTATCAAATACACATTTAATATACCAATTTCTTTCAGTTAAGGTAAGACGTTTACATTAAGTAGAAGATCCCCAAACTTCTGCATTACTCCTGTTCTGAGAGCACATGTTTAGCTCAACAGCACTATGAGCTCATTCTTTATAGTATATCATCAGGGGCACAGAGAAATGGTTACGAATTATTTCTTTTAATGAAACCAACCACAAATTTGACCACAAAAATACAAATACGATGGGGGTGGCCAATAGGGTGGCCAGGGTTCAATCTAGGGGGGCCGCGGCCACCCCTCACATCTGTGTATGCGTGTTGGCTGTGATTCTTAGCTACATGCGGTCTCAGGGTAGCCGCGCTTGGTTTTCCGCCATCTCTCAAGCGTTGCTGACTGCAGCCTGGCTCTGATTGGCTGTTACAGATCCACAGTACAAGCTTGCCACATGGGGAGCGAATTGCCTTGCTGTCCTCTCCTCTCCGCCGCACCTGGCGCTGCGAACCAGCCGTTTGGCGTGCGCTCCTACCTGCACCTCTTCTACGAGGACTGTGCCTTCTCCAGGGCCCAAGACGATGACGATGATGATGACGATGAGGAGTCAGCGGAAGAAGCCCTGACTTGGGGACTATGGCTCTGGCTCCTTTGGAGGGTAGGGGCAGCATAGCCAGTACGGCCAATATGGCCAGTATATACCATTACTCCACCGTACTACTGCTTATCAGTCCCTGACCTCAGAAAATACAGTATCAATAAGGAAATTATCAGTTTATACCACAGGTGTCAGACTCCAGTCCTGGGGGGCCGGAGCCCTGCACATTTTTGGGTTTCCCCTTGTTTAAAACACCTGATTCAACTTCTTGTGCTAATTACCATATAGCAGTTGAGCTGAATCATTTGTGGTGGAACAGGGAAAGAACTAAGCTACACAGGGCTCCGGCCCCCCAGGACTGCAGTTTGACACCCCTGGTTTATACATACACTCAGTGACAAAAAAAGTTAAGCACCCAGACAGAGTGGTGGAAATGAAATGAATCTGCACATGGTGCATATGACTGTATCGCAATTATAATACCAGATCAAACAGACAACAGAGTTGGCAGTATGGACACACTGCTGGTCCCATGTCAGTAGGGTGTGGCACCCCCTAACCCCCCCCCCCCACCCCGGGCCTGGATACATGCAGTGATGTGGTGCGGAAGGGAGTCATACAGCCGCTGTATCCTCTCCTGCGGCAAGTCGACCCACAGCTGTTGTAACTGGCCCTCGAGATCCTGCAGATTGGCACTGGGTCTGAGTTGACTTCTGAGCTGATCCCACACATGTTCAACTGGGGAAAGATCAGGGGAACTGACTGGCCACAGGAGGACCTCAACATGACGCAGGCGGTCTATAGACACATGTGCCATGTGTGGACAGGCGTTGAAGACTGAAGTCATACACTACGGCTCCCCCACCATGATGTCATACACTACGGCTCCCCCACCATGATGTCATACACTACGGCTCCCCCCAC